GGAGGAGCAGGAGCGAAAAATCGACACCCACAGGAGATGGATTCTGCTCATCCTTTCCTTGGGACGTTGGTGCGACAACCAATCAGAGAGCAGCAAAGTGGTCACGGGGACATTAGCGGACTGAGCGAGCAGACTGAAAATACTCATAAACAGCCAAAACAGGACCCACACCAGGCTTCACCAGAACTCAAACCAGGGTTGACAATGGGGGACTCTGTGCTTGTGAAAATATGCGTTGTCATGCTCCCGTGACCTTATGCAACTGCTTCGAGTGTGTTCGCCGATGCGGAAATACCTTTGAATAATATGAAAAAACGTATGGCGCACCTCCGTGAACACATACTACTGTTGTATAAAGCCCGTGGAATGTCTGTGAGCAAAGACACGCTGCAAAGCTGCATATTGGAGAAGATCTGTACACAAGAAGCTGCTAGCATAGCTCTGTTAGCATTAGAGCCGGCCGGCTACTTCCGGTACTTCCGGCTCGCGTCAGGAAGTTCTGGTGTGAAGTCCTCTGCGTCTGAAAACTAGAGAATGCGCGTCTGGTGAGCGGGGCTTCAGCGTTTCAGCGTTGCCGGTCTGAAACCACCATAACACAAATTTACAGTGTCATCCAGCCAACTTCTGCTCCGTCAACATATTATACCTCATTGTGAAGCTCCAGTTGTTGACTTTGTGTGACTTCTTACATTTGTTTTACATTGTATGACACTAATGACCCTGAGTGAGTTAACGTTTGTCATTCTGTCAACTTCAGCTCTGTCAAATATGAACCATATTTAGAGATCATACCTCATTATAAACCCCAAATTCAGTCAGTGTGTGTTGTCGGCCCCTGGATAGTTTTGGTGAACTAAAGTGGCCCACTTACTAAAATCGTTGGACACCACTGATCTATACTAATCAATGTACAACCCTGTGAAGTTATTGGTTGCATAATTTTTTGTTTTTTTAACGAAAGAAGATAGAGTTCTCATGTCTCACCAGCGAGGTTAATAATCCTCCATAGTTGTCTTTTGCAGATGTAAATGATTCTTTTTACAGCTAAACAAAACCCATCCTGGACAGCTTCCTACAAAAAGGTCTCCATTGCGCTGTACTTGCTCTGTACTACTTGTGTGTCACAGCAGCCAAACAAAAACATGGGAGGATGTATCATGTTCCTATTAATATTTGTTCCTCCCCGTAGCTGAGGCGTACATGCACTTCACGTTTTAGTAAATGTGCAGCAGTACACAGATCCCGTTTCAAATGTGAAACTAACAAGAACAATGGAGTAAGGAGGGACAGAGAGGAGGTCAGCAGTTGTAGATGTGTGCCTGTGTCAGCACGGAAACAGGCCAGCGATGTTAGAGCTAAGGAAAAGGAAATACAGCTCATTTGAGCTGCATTGTTTATTAGGGATGCACAGTTTTTCAAAGTCTGATCCCGATGCTTTGGCTTCACTATCTGCCAATACCTGATGAACCAATACCAGTGAAAGGACAGCCTCAAATCTGAGCTAATTAATTACAAATTGGTCCAAAGTTCTGTCTGTATCTGTGATTCTGTCTGTGTAAAACTGAAACCTACTGTATGTGTCATTCTGGGCTAAAACTAGCCAGTAAACAGACTTAATACACCTAAATAAAGCTCTACTCAAGATATAATTTAAAAAATACCCAATAAAAAAAAGTCAGTATCATATTGGTGCATCTATGAAAATAAGAGCAATCAAATTGCAATATTAGTGGTCACAATATGCAAATCCCAAATGCCTAAATAACATACAAAATAAATGAAAGTCACAATAATCATGGAAAAATTATTTGTTTTGAGTATCAAAAGTATTAACGTTTTATGTATTATGTATAATTTATGTAAAGTCTTTGCATTTTTACTCCCATTTCGGATGATAAGGTTTTCCAGTAAACCATGGAAAGTCCTGAGTTAGAAACATTTTGTCAAATAAAGTAAAAACTTTGTTTTAATACTTTAATTATATATTATAAATCAGAGTTAGATAATTCGACAGAATTTTTCAACCCTATTAAATATTTTGAAAATAGTCAACAGGATTGCTTCACATTTAGCAAAGCTTAATTCAATTAAATCCATTTCAATTAAGCTTTGTAGAGCCACAGCAGTCGTCTCGGAGGACTTTTCAAAGAATTAAACACAGGAAATGCAACAATAACAAACACATAAGCCACAGGTCCATCAGGTTGCAGGATGACCAATGTGCATGACTCGTAATAAATGTGCATAAATGTCCATAAATGTCCATAAATATGCCTACTTAGTGCAGTTGTTCTCAAATTAGGGGAATTCTATAGGTGATGGGTCCTCTGCATTTGACCCATTCTTTAATCACAGGGCAATCTGTCAGGTTCAGTGATTGCTACACTGCAGCGCCCGGCGACTCTGGACTACCCAAGCTGGGATATGCTGCATCCTTTGGGAGGTGGGAGACCCCGGAGCGCCCAGAGGAAATCCACACAAACACGAGGAGAAACATGAATACTCCCAGTGGTATTTCAGGATGGGTCAAATGCAGGGGACGAATTTCCCTAAAGAGAAATAAAAGTTTAGCTACCTCAATGAAAAAGTTAAATTGAAAAGAGGCATGGAATCCTGCTGCCTTATTTATGATTGTTAGTAATTATGTGTGCATAGTATTCAGTATTTACAATGAAATATAAACCTAATGGTAATCGAAAATAATGTGTGACACTAAACAAACAATTAACTTATAAAAGCCATTTTGTGCTTGTGCCCACAATCACGTGTACTCTTATCTAGAGTTTCCCCAAGAATAATAATCCCATCATCAGTGTTTTGTGATTGAATATCATGAGAATGGGGCAGGGTGAGGTGAAAAAACCCCTGAGTGGATTACAGGAAAGGACAAGTTAGGTCGTTCAGAATGACTGCATCATGTTTAATAGAGTGGCTGTTCTAAACAAGGTCATCACCAGGATGTGACAATTACCTGTTTTTGTTTCCTGTTATCAATGCAGTGAGGGGATTAGCTAGATACACAAGTGTAAAGTCATCACAGTGTGTTATGTGACAACCAGACTTGACTTGTAAACACATATTGCAGGGCTAGAGTCAACATGGACCATTTTAATTAATTGTATTTGCTTATGTGGATCTATAGCTGAAATATGTGTCGTACCTATGGATAATTAAAAGTAAGCCTATTAACTGTTATCAGAAGTTATGGTTTAAAAATAAAAAGAATAGGCTTTTCTATGCAGAGGTGGCCAACCAAATGAACTCTTGAAGAAAACATCTCTGAAACTCATGTTGAATGCAACAGCAGGATTATTCAGTCAATTATAATACATTATGGGATAGACTCAGAGGACCTTTCCAGAAACCAGGGCATTGAGGGCAAGACTTCAGACTGCTGAGATGACACGTGTACGGGGATATAGTCATCTCTGTGTATAATATGGATCAGGCTGTTGTGCAATACAATCTTTACCACGCTGCTGATCGCTTCTGTGCGGACATAACAGGCCTGACAGACGCTGCAGTCGGTTTGCTTCCATCAACACAGCCCTCAAATGACGTGTCTCGTGTTTCAATACAAAGGGGAATAGGCGAAAGCAAAATACTACCTGTTTTATATATAGTAATAATGGGGTCTGTAAAAGGGGAAAACATAGACACGCATGCGAAGAGGCCTGTTACTGGAAAGATATGGCGAGGCTAATGCGCTCAATGAACATCAGCAGCGCGCCTCAGGATAACCCCATGTGAACGTTCACTTTGTCCACAAACGCAGATTGCTTACCAGATCTTCATGTTCACGATCCTAATGGCGTGCGTCCATGCTTACTCCATAATCCAGAGGTCAAGTGTCTGTTATCTGCTAATTAAAATCTTAGTGGAGTAACGAGGAGCTTTTCAGGGACCGTCCAACGCAGTGCCATCCTCCTCCACAGCTCCACTGGCTCCAGGCACAGGCAGATATGATGGGGAAAGAGACGCGTGGAAATATCGCTAATATCAAAACATTCAGAGAGACGGACGCTGTTGCCGTGTGGAGGCAGAATGACTCTTACATGGCGACATGAATCATTACAAATAAATCACAGAATGGCTGGCGTTCATCGGGTCTGTCAAGCGCGAGGCGGGGCGCACCAATCACCGAGCAGAACGTGACATGACAGACAGCTAAGTGACCAATGAGCTTTGAGTGTGATTAGGAACGACAACATTGAAGACGAATCAGCGAGAAGCTTTATTCTCAGAGGGCGGGCAGTACAGGTGCTTCTGGCAGTGCGTCGCAAATGTTTAATTACAGGGAGCAGAAAGGCTGTTAATGACCCACTTTTACATTTGGATTTTACAAACGCTTTTTTTCTGAGTTTTGTTGAATGTATCATTCTTTCAACGGTAATAGCGCCAGAAAGACATCTCAATATCATCATCGAACAGCGCTATTTGGAATTTATAATTGGTGAATTAATAAAGAATAAAGATTGTTTGGTCCTTATTTATTATAACAAATTGAATATGTATTTGACTTGACATTTGAAGGACTTTACCTTATTTTTAAGTTCAAACGCTGCCACCAAGTGGACACACATTACAACACTATCCCAAACATTGGATATTCGTTGGATATTTATAAATGCACTGAAATATAAATTCACGTATTTAAAAAGAGTTGTGTAAAATGTACACAACTCTTTGGATGTCATACATCCAAATCATATGATTTGGATGTATGACAACAAACTATGTAACTAAGTAGTGTTTTTATTACACTACTTAGTTGACTGTACAACTTTTTTTTTCTTCAAAAGACTCGAAATATTACATACATATTTTGTTACCTTCAAGGACTGTAAAGAATATGCAACATATATTTACTTCTCTTCTAAGTAGCTAATTGTTGAAATAGTTTATATATCTCTAAGAAGAGTAAGTAAAAAGCTCAGAAGAAACATAAAAAATATTAGTTCTGATTTTTCTTTGACTTGAGTTGTTAAGATTAGAGTAATATGTTTTCGTACTGTCTTTTACTGCACCACGCACGTGCGCCTGCTGCTCTGCACTGTGGAGGAGACTGTGCAAACGTCTTCGCTACCTTCAGTTCTGCAGTACTTCACAAAGTAATGATGTGACATTGGTTGTCTTGTACATATTCGTTGGACTTGTGTGTGGCCCACTTTTAGATGATAACCTTGAATATTAAGTTTTCTTATTTGATATTTTCTTTCAGTTCCGTGGTTGGTTAGCTAACTTCAGGCTAAACGCAGTAGCACGGTGCGTCTAGATGGCACGTTTCTAACTTGTTAAATCAAATGCATTCTTCCGACGTATTATGAAGATTTAATCAAGTGATTGAATCCCTTTCGTTTATTTTACGGTGTAACTGCTAATATGCTGAATACTGACACTTAGCGGAAGCTTTTAATGTGCATTGTTGAACTCAGGTGAAGTCTGATGGACCTTGGAGAAACAACTGCATTATACATGTTATGGTTTCAGATGTCTGAGAACGACGTTGACAACGAGTTGTTGGACTATGAGGAGGACGAGGAGCCCCAGGTGATACCAGAAACCACCACAACCAAGAAGGAGGTGAAGGGGTCCTATGTGTCCATCCACAGCTCTGGGTTCAGAGACTTTCTGCTTAAACCAGAGCTGCTTCGAGCTATTGTCGATTGTGGGTTTGAGCATCCATCTGAAGGTAAACTTGACCATACTATTTACATGATTTCTCAAACTAACACATCAATTATTTATATCCATTCAATGTTTTAATTTAATTACTGACTTGGTGTGTCCCTCCTTCTCTTATCAGTCCAACATGAGTGCATCCCTCAAGCCATTTTGGGAATGGACATCCTATGTCAGGCCAAATCTGGAATGGGAAAAACTGCTGTATTTGTTCTTGCTACACTACAACAGTTAGAGCCAGTTGAGGGTCAGGTGAGTAGAGCTGCTAGAATTTACGTTATAATATTATATGACTTTATTTTGTAATGCAACTTATCTACCCATGTGCACATTGCCTTTGTTCTGTGTATAACCAGTGCTGTTTATATCTTCACACTTTTTAATGTACTGTGATTATTTATGATTTTACCGCCTTGTAATGTTTCTATCTTTGTCATTTTGAGTTTCCTTGTGTACGAACTATGCTATACAATTAAGCATCCCTTGCCTTGCTTTGTCAGGTCTCTGTTCTTGTGATGTGCCACACTCGAGAGCTGGCCTTCCAGATCAGTAAGGAGTATGAGCGTTTCTCTAAGTACATGCCCAGTGTGAAGGTGTCCGTATTTTTCGGTGGTTTGTCAATTAAAAATGACGAGGAAGTGCTGAAGAAGAACTGCCCTCACATTGTTGTTGGGACACCAGGTCGTACTCTAGCCCTCGTTCGCAACAGAACGCTGAACCTGAAGAATATTAAACACTTTGTTCTTGATGAGTGCGATAAGATGCTTGAAGAACTAGGTAAGAATTAGAACGACCATATTTAAATGGCTTGTTGGATTAGTGCATCCCTAAACGTTGTCAATGTTTTCAACCAGATATGAGAAGTGATGTTCAGGAAATCTTCAGATTGACGCCACACGAGAAACAGGTGATGATGTTCAGTGCTACCTTGAGCAAGGACATTCGCCCTGTGTGTCGCAAATTTATGCAGGATGTAAGTAACTTTGCTTCTAATTGAAGATATTTAATTCTTTGTACTATCTGATGGTGAGAGCCCATCGGAGCTTTCCCTTTTGTGGCTGACTGTGCCATGAATGGCCTTAACAGTGGGCCAGAGTGAACCTCCAATGCCCTTAATTGGAGTCAAATAAGCTGTATCAGCCACTGGCAAGAACACATTACATTTATGTGTTATACTTAGACGCACCTAAAATGTTTTTTTGTATGCATATCATTACGTGTATGTATGCTTTGTTTTTAATGTACTGTTGTTTAGCCTATGGAGGTGTTTGTGGATGACGAGACCAAGTTGACACTTCATGGATTGCAACAGTACTACTGTAAACTCAAAGATAGTGAAAAGAACCGCAAGTTGTTTGACCTACTAGATGTACTCGAGTTCAATCAAGTGCGTGAACATTATGACCGTTTCAATATGGGTTGTGTACCATCTATTAATGACAATTAATTCTCTGTCTTGGCTAGGTGGTCATTTTTGTAAAGTCAGTCCATCGCTGTGTAGCTTTGTCTCAACTTTTAGTTGAGCAAAACTTCCCTGCCATAGCGATCCACAGAGGCATGGCTCAGGAAGAGCGGTATGTGTCTTTGGTTGAGGACAAAGTGCTGTAAATTCATTTATTGTTTTAACTGTTTTTATCTCTTTTTAAAGGTTATCCAGATACCAGCAGTTTAAAGATTTTCAGCGGCGAATTCTGGTAGCAACCAATCTCTTTGGTCGAGGCATGGACATTGAGCGTGTTAACATTGTTTTCAACTATGACATGCCGGAGGATTCAGATACTTACCTGCACAGAGTGTGTTGATGTTTTTGTCCTGAAACCTTTCTCGACATATCTGTGTATTCATCTGTGGATCTCTTAAGGTGGCTCGTGCTGGAAGGTTTGGAACCAAGGGCCTGGCCGTCACATTTGTGTCAGATGAAACTGATGCCAAGACGCTGAATGAGGTCCAAGACCGCTTTGAGGTCAATGTGCCCGAGCTTCCAGGGGAAATCGACATTTCCTCGTACAGTAAGTCATCTATGGACTTTGTGGAATTGATTCAGACAAAACGCAAATTAATTATGTATCCCTACTTTTCAGTTGAGCAGTCCAGATGAACGCGTACATTGGTTGACCGTTGTTGCCTTAATTGTTTATATTTGTGAGAAAAAAGGAGAGAAGTTTACAGTGCTCCAGCTATATTTGTTAAGAGTTCTTTATGATAATTTATCATGTTTCAAGATTGTTTTATTGTTTCCCATGTCGAAACCATGGATATAGATTTTGGTTAATAAAGATTTTATACCTTACATGTTACTTTTTTCTTTTTATATTTCAAAGATAGAGGGCGCCCTTGTCAAGCTGCAGAAAACAAAACGATATGTGATAAACTAAATCCAAAACCAGCCACCCATAATGTTATATTTCTTTAAACTGATAAATTGAAGTTCAAAAAATGGGACGCTGGCCTGTCACCACAAAGAGTTGATATTGGTCCAAGTTCATGTTCAGGTACTTCAAACATACCTCCAGCTAACATTCAGAATTCACAATAAGTACATTATTGCAGAAATGACATTCACTCTATCAAAGACAAAGCTGTAATGTATACACTGTCAACAAAACTGCTGCCATCTGTTCATGTCAGTAACATGGTGATCTGTAAGATCGCTGTGCATTGTTGCTCTTGTTTCTTCCAGGGAAGTAGAGTCTTTCATCTTAGAGCTGTGTTTGTCTGTGCTTCCAATTAGCTCCTTTTCCCACAATGCCAGAGTTAGTGTCTTATGTTCAGTGCCCAAAATAGAAAAAATGCCTTTTTGAATAATCTGCAAGACCTAGTCAATGAACTTGTGCGTGTCACCATACATCCAGTGTTGTGGAGGCAAAGCTACTTCATTGAGATGACCACAGTCAGTGCTGCATTTACAGGACTGCACAAACATGGCAGACTTGTGGAAGCGCTCTCCATCAGGACAGACAAAGGTCACTGGGACTGTACGTGTCTTTCGAGGTGAACAGCAGCGGCCGTCCGCACACACACTGCAGTAGTTGGGTCGGTAGAGTCTGGCACTGACACACTCCCCATAGGACAGGCGCAATGGTCCGGTGGCCTTTTGGGTTGGCGAACACTTCTGTTCCTTCTGCAGATCAATTAACAGAATTATAATTAAATTAATTTACAATGGCTGCACAAAACGGTATTCAACAGAAAGATTGTCAGAAAAACTCTACATATTCAGGATTTCCAACATTAGAAGTCATTATTAGCTCAGCACAACATGGTATCTTCTGTGCTGTCTGCAGGATAAATATAGAAAGGAGCCCTCTGTCCTCTGGACAGTTGCTAAGCAGGAATGCCGAGGGTCAGGACTATATTTAAAAGGCGCCTGGTTGCCACCAGCACTGGGTAAATTAGCACTGCTCTATTCCCTCTAGATTGGCACTTCCTAAGCCACTGAGAGGAAATCAGGATGTGTTTGCACAGGTCAATAATAATCCATTGTTTCTATTCTCATCAACAATAATGAAAGCAGTTCTAGATATTATCTAGAAAAATAATCAACCGTATGTATGTGTACCTTTGGAACAATAAGGCTGTGACAGGGACGTATGGTGCATATTCTGGTCTCTTTCTCCATCCTCAACTCTGGATTTTTGTTGGTGATTCGAGATGAAATGCCCATTCCACAACTTCTGGAGCATTGGGACCAAGGGGTGGTTTGTATGGGACAGTTATTTTCCTTCATCCTTTTCACTGCTAAATTTTTTTCTGAATAAAATGAATGCATTCACTAAATGTTTAATTATGCAGCATTTCATGTCAACTTGTGTCATACTTAGCGGGGGATGAAGTCCAGAATGATTCCGGCGAACAGGCTTGCCATCCCTCTGGTCATAGGGCAGCATCAGATCTTTGACCCTGTGCTGGACCGAGTGATGTCCATGTCTCTGCACCTGTCACAACAAGACATTAAACAAGGGACCAGGATCTGCATGGAGGAGACACTATAAATTACACACAACAAAGTACGCTTTTACATTCCTCTGCAGCACATATTAGAAAATATGTCATGGTGGCAGTAGAAATATTTCAGTTACGATGAAACAAAAGTGTCTGTAAACAGTGTATTTATTTATTGTGTCCTGTACATTTTCTACTCTCACATGCACATATGTGTAATTGATTAAATTATTTCAGTATTGAATTGCAGTATTTTCTATTACGTACTATTTAAGCACATGTATCGTACAGTGAAATGAAAACCAACCTTCTTTTGCCATGGGAGATGCCAGGTTCCCTTGTGGCAGTCAACTGTGAAGCAGCACTTCCCTGGGGTCTTAATGAGTCTGGGGAAGGGGCAGGTGGGGGAGGCTGCGGGTAGTTTGTTGTTACACAGAGGAACACAGCCCACTGTGCCGTCCATGCAGCTGCACTGGTGTTTACACCCGGCTCCAAAACTCTCTCCATTTTGGTAAATCCTGCCGTTATATTCACATGAACGACCCTCGGTTTTGGCTAAAAACGTGCAAACAACATGTATTAAGGAGAAGTTGAGGTAAAATGCCATTCCCAATCAAAGATTTGAAATGAAAACAATATACAGATATTTTTTTCTGACAGCAAGCTTATAAATACATAGTAGAAATGTATAAAACACCTTTGCTTTATTATATGTGATATTCATATGGGGTCCACATTTCATACTAATGTATAAACCTACCATCTACTCATCGATCTAATCTACACATGAGACAAGAATTGCAATAACCTCTCTTTTCCTCTGTTACACCTCTATAGCCTCTTTGAAGAGCAACATACTTCAAGATAAGTGAAAGCCATCTCTGATTTCAGGTATGTGTGTTTCAAATGTTAAGCATACATTACATGTTCTCTGTTCAACACCCCACTCAACTGTGTGATTTACTAAAACACAACTCTATGTTTGTAAGTTTGTACTTGAGATCTGTGTGTACCTCTACAGATGCCTTCAGCCATGGACACATCATTGCCATAGTTGCACTCAAGGCCTCTATGGTGGTCGCAGGGCCTCAGGGGACTGCAGTCCTGGTTGAGCTGAGCAGCACACACCTTACAGCAACCACACCCATCTGGAACAACACTTACACCTGCGGGACAAAGCAGGGGCCCCCCAGAGCACACACACTTAGAGGGACAGCTCACAGTCACCTGGAAGGAAGGAGAGTATTACGGTAGAAATATGTCCTGGACATTAGAGACACCAGACAAGACCGCAGGTGTAGCAAGGAGACAATTGATCACATCACTGCTGGCCAGCAGTGGGACGCTATAAACAACCATAAGTGGCTGACATAGTGTGCAGGAACATGTGTGCAGAGTATGGAAACCCCAAAGTCTAAATTGCAAACCCCCCCAAAGGTGGTGGAGAATTCTGTGGGGCTTTCAGGTACAGATGGTATTGGCGAACCAACCAGACATTGTGATGATAAAGGACAGAGGACGTGGTGGACGTGGCATTTCCAACATGAGGAAGAAAAAGCACAAGGAGCGCCAAACCCTCAAGCTCCCTGGCCCCGAGTGAGGGATAAATAACCACCACAAGGTGAGCGTTTATTGTGTATATATATGTTTTTCTAGACATGAATATATAAAATAGACACAAACATACACACAATCACACGCACACAAGTAGCAGACAAGACCCTTGATTCAATACAAAATGAGTTGCACAATTTCAAATTATAGTTTTAAATGTCTAGACAGATTGTACTTGTAGGACAGTGATTCATGGCTCAGTTGTCTCAGTTCTCTCAGTCTTTAGATAAAGAGAAGCAAAAAACCAGACATGACAAGACATGCTACTGTCTTGTGTTAATTATAATTATCAGCATTGACAAATCAATCCAGGATACTGGAATTATTGGCTTAGTTTGGTTCAAAGGCATGCTTCTTTTACAGACAGCATGGAGTGGGTGTGTGGTAGTGGCGAAAGCTCCCAAAACAATTTTATTCTTGCAAATAAACAAGACATATTGTCATAAGGATTTGGTAAGTAAGGCAGTGCTTAAAGACTTCAAAACTTGATATAACTCTCCATACACTTTTCTACTGTTGCCTACATGAATATATACTTTCATGATAAAATATTGGGTAAGTAAAGAAAACAAATAATGCTGTTGAGCAATACATTGACAATACAACTAACAACATCAAAATAATAATGAAACAGTAGTCTTACCTGGGTGATGACTGCTGCTGTTAAAGTCAGACAGACCCAAAACATTCTTGTGTCACCTCAAAAGCTCAAGCCTGCTCGTTCATCTTGTTCCAAATCCTTGTTTCACCCTTGACTTGTAGAACATTCAAATCCATTTTTATACCACCGCAGAGAGCACACATAGTTCCCTCCCCTCTCCTCTCACCAAACCAATGAGAATTGAGTTGTATTTCCAGTGGAGCAGCTTCCCCACAGGGTTTGGGCTGATTGGCTGGAGGGTTTTGGAATCATTACAGTCATTCATGAAAGTCCCATCTTGTATATTGAATGGGTTATAAACAGGCTCTGCAGTCAGTCAGGTGTAACATTTAAATATATGTAAATATTCTAATCAAGAGACATACAGTAGAAAGGAAGAGTATCTTCCAGGAGCCAGGAGCAACATGCTGTTCCACATTTTTAAGTCTATATGACAGGTTTGTATGACTTTCTAGATGTTACTTATTTGGTGGAATGACACCTGTTTTAAAAAAATTAATTATTTTAAGACCAACAAAAAGTAATACAAAAAAAATACATGACATTTACATAAAGTAGGTATAGTTCTAGTCAAAACACATGACATCACTTTCATCCTGAAGTTTGAAACCATAAAACACATTTTTATAATACTTCAATGACTCACAAGTTCACTAGTAATGCATATAGTAGGCACCATTTTTATAAAAGGAACATCCCTATAGTGATGTCATAGTTTACTATCAGGATGTAAAATTAACTTTGATTCAAAGCACAAAAAAGAAACAATGTAATAAAATCCATCTACTTCCTCACTATACTTTTCAAACATACATTGTTTCTGGCCTTTGTCACAGAGTCCAGAAGATACTACGTGTTATTATGAATATGAAAAAATCAGATTTGTTCACAATATATTTTTTAATCAAGATGCAGTTGGGACAAACACAATGTATTATTTATAAAGAGTTTGGTACCCCGGCTTTAAATCTAATGATGGTTGCTTTGTTTTAGAGAAATGTGTGATGTGGACAGCTGCAACAATCGTTCAAACTGTATTTCCTAAGGTTTTTCAATGTCAATCTTTAATAAAATACAAAAGGACCCACATGTGGAAATGCTGATCAAACCCATTGTAATGGCTCTACAGGGAAGTCCCTACTTCAAGAACAAAACCATATAATATTCTGAAGATAAGTAGTTCCTTGAAATTCAAGATAAAAAAGAGACCGTCTTCTGTTTTCCAAAGGTGGATTTGTTTTTACTTCTCAGTACTTTGGTTAACAACAGGCGGTCTGATCTGGGCCGGACACCTCTATAGCCGCATGGTGCAGACATGGGAACAGGGAGGATATAATCAGTTGGAAAGAACGGCCTTCTCATTGTTTTTAAAAGCAGCTCATGTGAAGGACATCTTTTGATTCTATATGCAGTGGGAAAATATGAAATCAACCTTTATAAGGGAAACTCAAGAAATAGCTGCATGACTTTTGTTGCTTGTTTATATGTGCACAGACAGATTTCCAGATCTACACAAACATTCTCCTTCTCACATTCAAAGCTCTCCAAAACCTGGTCCCCTCATACCTGAGAGACCTGCTCCACCCATACACCCCGTCCCTCTCTCTCCGCTCCTCATCCATACTGTCCCCACCATCAAAACGGCCACGATGGGGGCAAACTCTGGAACACTGCTTTACCTGCGACAGTTTGACTCTCAGGACTTTCTCAAATCACATCTCAAAATCTACCCTTTTAAATTGACTTATTCTTTGTCATTTTGTAAGGTTTTATAATCTGTACCTTTTGTATTGTTTGTGGTGTTTTTGATATATTGTATGGCATCTTTGGTTGTCTTGAAAGGCGCCATGAAATAAAATAGATTTTTGATATTAATTATCAATACAAAGTCCCATCAAAATTCCCATTGATTTCCAAGAAAATCTATAGGACAAACAGTTTCATCGGATACCCGCTGGATAGAGTTTCAGTAAAAAACAAAACAAAAGAACCGCTCAGCTGAACTCAGTGACTAGAAAAGTTGTGCAGAAAGTCAAAGAGGAGGCACAAGCATGGGGCATTTATTTAAATCCCCAGACAGGAGAAACAGCACACACTCGACCATCTTACAATGCATCTGCTGCTGTTTGTATCTCCACCACCACGAAATATCACGTGAGACACACATTACACCCACCCTTTACAGACAACAACAAATGCAGTTCCTCACGCATAAATAAAGTGTAATAATATATATGAGTGATTCTATCCAGATGTGACATGTAATTTTCTCCTGTGTGAGATCAAGAAAGTCCATCTTATCTATCTTGTAATTATGATTCTAAAATTATATCTATTGGCTCAATGTCACAGAATTGAAAGAGTTAAATCTTATGAATGTACCGTTTACAAAGTTAGTGTAATTTCAGGGTCACTTTCAACACGTCACTTTCTCAGTCCGGTAAAACTCACCTTTTTATTGGAGACTGTAAGTACCTTCATTGTGTCTCCGCCAGAGGGAACCAAACACTCTTTTTAGGAAGACAAGACATAGGCCGACATCATGGTTTGGCCAAAGAACTATAATACAATATAATGTATTCTATATGAAGGTACGTTATGATGTTATGATACAGTCTTGTTTTGTCATTTATGATCAATTGTTTAGGGACAACATTTTGGGATTGTGAGAAAATGCATACTATATACATTACATTTATTTATATTTTAACACTGATTTAATGAGATACTTTTTTGCCAGATACAAAGTTAAAAACACAGTGAATTAGAATGGAAACAACGAATAAATGCAGAACACCAAATCATTCAAAAATGTAAAGGCTTTCTTCTGTTAATTTACCATTATTGTACATCCGATTGATATTATGTGTTTGCTTTTTACCGGTGACCAAATCCAATACATGCAATATCAGCTGTGGCAGTACACATAACTTAATGCAAATAAGCTAATTTTATGGGTTTTTTGGGTGGTGATAAGACCCCTGCTTCAAAAAACAAGTAAAGTGGTTTGTGTCTCCCTTTGTACAGTTCGCTTAGGGCCCGGATGGAGCTCGCAACTGTCAATCAATGTACCCCCCCCCCCCCCCCCCCCCCCACAGCCAAAGACAAACAGGAAAGAAGCACATTGTATTTATTTTTTTTATTTTATTAAAAGTGTGCCTTTTACAACCATTAGATACTGCACACAATACCCTATATGTTTGGGTTTGCTCAAACAGCACATGCTATTGGTTCCAGTGCTAAAATAAACAAGGCAGGAGAGACTGGGCAACCCTGCTTTAGTGAAATAGTCTAAGAGAGATTATAGCTGAACACATTGTCACTACAATTGCTTCATTAGAGATATTATTGTTATAAAATACATTGTTAGAACTAGTGACGTTAGTAGTATATGTCCTGGAGACTTTTGTATAGCTCAATACTAAACCCATCCTCTCCTGGCAAGTAAAAGAATTTGAACCCCAGTTTCAATTGCTGCATGAATGACAACTACTTGCTGCATGAACGAAGCTTCCTGCACGATGAGAAGGCTTGAAGCAGGGCGATGCTTGATTTCAGCAAGGCAGAGTTGGCAGCTGAGGGTGATTGACTGATGCTGTAGCCGTGCAACAACTGTGGGAGGAGGGCAGTCAGCTTCTATCTTCCAGACTGAACCTCCGCTTTAGCTTCATTTATCCTGTCTAGAAACCAACATATATTTCCTGAGAACTAACTATGGTGAAAAACATTGTTTTGTTTATTGACCCTAAAATAACGAAACCTACTAGGGAAATTTGACTTGGAAGCGACAGTGGAGCTCAATGGCGATTAGATTTATACAAAAGATTCTCTGACGCAGTCCTGTGTTATTCTTTTTAAACAAACATATAAATGAACACCTGCCGGCAAGGTCAACAGCAGATTAAAGTAATCCCATGTTTCCTACAAATAATGGAAAGTAACCAGGGCTTAATCAAATGGCTATTTGATATTAAGTAAAATCAAAATCTGCACAGTGAATGGTTTTTTTGGTACCAAAAGTTAACCACTAAAAATAATGGTTAACTGTTAATTATTAACACATTGACAAGATTGTTTTGGTACAATTAGATCTTCCTGATTGGAATAAAAGCCATTTCACACCACAGCCCCCAAACGGTGTGAAAGGTTGGCAAGTTTTTGATCCCACCACTCGGCATCCTCATGTGGATGCTCCGGGCGCTGCACTGTGTGACCTCTGCTTCTGACACAGGCCCTAGTGGCACTAAAGGATGGGTCAAAAGGAGAAGACAAATTTCAAATGTACAAAGTTAAAGCCATTTCTTTTCAGCAAGTCAATCACAGACGCATAAATGAATGCTCAAACAATCTACATAAGTCATGCACCGGAATCTTGTACGTTTATTTTTTGTATTATTCCTACCATGAACAAAATTTGACAAAAACCCATACTATGTCTATAAAATAACATCTGCCTTTGGATTTTATTATCGCAACTTTTTCCTTTCTCCCCACATTTCATGACGCAGCTATTTTCCAACCAGAACTACCGAATTTTTGCACACACATTTTGGATTGGTCAGGCAGCTGAGGCAGGAAAACAAACAGTAGGGCCAATGCTCAGTCACAGACGAAGAAAAGTTTTTCCTCACAGTTCCTGTTCTCCAATGCTCCTTGTGGGTTCAATGCTCCACAACGCTCATTGACCGGACACTGGCTGATGACGTGTTTTTCAGGTTCTAAAGGGCCTCCGCTGACCCACATCCACCGGTCTCCAAGGAAACGCAGGCCTGTCCACACCAGGCTCAAACCTTCTCTCTGCATTTGGTTCTTAATAAGAGATACTTCATTGTCCCAGGGTAATTCAGTAAGGTTTGCTCCTTTGGTCTTGCAGTGTTCAGATGCTCTCTCCCAGGATAAGTCTTTCTTCACTATGAGCTCACAGCAGTAAAATGGGAACATCTGTGTTTTAGCATAGTCATTCCACAGTCCATCACCGTTCATTTTAACTGTGTCCTGCTTATCCCCCCAATAGTTTGGTTGATCTT